TTAAAGATGGGTTCCCTTATTTTTATTTATGAAAATGAAAATTCTAATTCTTATATGAATAGAAAGTAGAGGTGTTCTAATGACTTGTAAAAATACCAGTTTGTCTCACATGTCCATAATTAATTCATAATTAGCTAATTAGAAGAGAATTACCAGCAGAATTCCAAATGAGTGACCGATCAAGAAAGGTCAAAAAGTCTTTTTTTGTTTATCCAGACTGTACATTTTTGTACCACTGTATTAATGTAAATGTTCGTAAACGCAGCAATTTGATTGGATGGTATGCCATAGAGTACAGCAAATCAAAGCCCTGGACAGAAACAATATATAAGCAATATGGCTATGTATGTTCTGGAGAGTTCGTAATATCTTGACATAATGGAATTGAACCCTACCAAGGCCTTACCTTAGCTAACACGTAAGGGAAATCTCTCCTGGAAATCTTAACCAGGTCTTTTCCTTTAGATCCCAGCTGCTCTAACTGTGTCTTGTCCAGACCAACATGTACTCTACCATCTAAAACACCTATAGTAGCAGGGATACAGCCATTTTTTCTTATTATATCTTCTACTTCTAGCCCAGTCCTAAAAACAAACACAGAAATTTTAAATTTTCTTATACATTTTGTTTTAGTTTTTCTTTATCAAATTTTTAGCATAATTTGGATTCGTACCAATCCAGTCAACTGGAATAATGAGGATCCTTTCTACCAGCTGGTCCTTGGCCAAACCTTTTGGTATTCATCTTGAAAGGTTTATCTGTACCCATTTACACCTGAGTTGACTGGAATAATGAGGATCCTTTCTACCAGCTGGTCATTGACCAACCTCTTGGTATTGATCTTTCCCTGATTATCTGTACCCATTTACAGCTGGGTTGACTGGAATAATGAGGATCCTTTCTACCAGCTGCTCCTTGACCAAACCTCTTGGTATTGATCTTTCCTAGATTATCTGTACCCATTTACACCTGAGTTGACTGGAATAATGAGGATCCTTTCTACCAGCTGATCCATACCCCATCAAACAATTTCTCAGAAGAAAGGTGACCAACGTTTGACTTACTTTATATTATGAGGGTAGGGCATACCATGTGTTATAATGGTACTTTCTAGAGCTACCACTGGTCCATGTTCGTGTAACGCCTGACGAACTTCTTCTGATACACTCAATGTTCCTGAAAATAGCAATTAGCCCTTTGGTATATTCTGACACACATTTTGTGGCAAAAACGAATATCATGTGTTGAATTTTTTTAAAAATGACGCAGGGATATATTTGGGTACCATTTTTGGCGCCACTACTGATAGAACGACCAAGATTTTGTTAAAAGTTCCCATATTACAGGAACCATACTTACCATTTCGAATCTGTTCAATTTTATTCAAGTTGAAATATCTTGTGGTTGATGTGGACAACTTGTGTTTCTGGT